TGTCATTACTCACCCTCATGTCGTTCTAAACCCGTAAGACCTTCATTCATCTTCTGTTTACGTTCAGCATGCGCGCGCTTTCTACTGAACGTAAACAACGCTGATTATGTTGATTACGTTCTGGGGTACTCTAAAAAATGGTCGGAAGACGTACCTCGGGGAGAAGAATTGTTGAATAAATTATGTTATTATTGTTTTCTTTATATCACAAATGTAATTTTTTTATTACGAAAATATTAAGCATTAATTAAGTATTATATCTAGACTTGTTTTTTATAAAAGCACATGTTTCTTATTCCTTAAAAATACATTTAACTTGCATTCTATTAAAGCAGTAAGGGTGTTTTAATACCTAGCAACTATTTAGAACACCTTAGCAACCATTTATCAACACTGAAGCATTTGCTTATCAGTCTCTACCATATAGCATGTAAAACTCTTTTCAAACTTTCAGACATCAAAAATATTTTTTTTCCTTTCAGTTGAGACTTTGTTAAAGGGATAGTTCACCCAAAAATGAAAATTCTGTCATTACTCACCCTCATGTCGTTCTAAACCCGTAAGACCTTCATTCATCTTCTGTTTACGTTCAGCATGCGCGCGCTTTCTACTGAACGTAAACAACGCTGATTATGTTGATTACGTTCTGGGGTACTCTAAAAAATGGTCGGAAGACGTACCTCGGGGAGAAGAATTGTTGAATAAATTATGTTATTATTGTTTTCTTTGCGCATAAAAAGTATTGTCATAGCTTCGTAAAATTACAGTTGAACCCCTGATGTCACATGGACGATTTTAACGATGTCCTTGCTACGTTTCTGTGCCTTGATCGTGATAATTACATTGCTGTCTATGGAGGTTCAGACAGCTCTCAGATTCCATCAAAAATATCTTAATTTGTGTTCCAAAGATGAACGAAGGTCTTACAGGTTTGGAACAACATGAGGGTGAGTAATTAATGACAGAATTTTCATTTTTGGGTGAACTATCCCTTTAAGCCAGCATGTAAAGTTTGTTTAATGAACTGTCATGTTCTAGCTGTTAGTAGGATACTGTGAAAACAAATTAACTCTAGTATGACAGTTACCTTTCAATGGAGGGGACTGAATGTTTATTTCCAGTGACTTCAGCAGAATCAGGCTCACGGCTCTCAGAATCACATCGTCCTTCTGCGTCCCGCCGAGACTCACATCACAGTTCCCACCAAAGAAACTGGCTTGAGCTTTCACAGGGACTTCCTTCAGCCAGCCTGCAGTGACGTCCTGTAGCACACCATGTGCCATGATCAGCATGTCCTCCGTCAACTTCAGCTGAAGCCCAGTCCTGCCCGGCTCTCTGCAGAAGACTTCTCTTCAGAAGATGCAAACAATGTAGTTCCTCAGAAAAGGTTGTGGTTGCAACAAAGTGGTAGCCGAGCAACACACAGACGTAAACAGCTTCTACAACAGCTTCGAACTTGGCTCAGCCAATCAGAATCAAGGACCGGAACTATCCATTTTATAATCTTGCGTAAGGTTCTATGTGATTCCACTCCAGATAAATTACATAAGCGTAATAAAGCAACTCGGTCGGAATCATCTGTCTGTGTGTGAAGACTCTTCAGTACCTCTCTGATTCGGGCCTGTGTCTCCTCTCAGCACTGCTTTAATCACAGCGGCCAGGGACCACAGACAGGAGTCCAGTTCACTGCTGGACACTGATTCCTCAAACACTTCAGCACACAGTGTCTCCACATCCAGCTGCTGCCTCCCTGAAATCAACAATTACAGCACTTAGTCAAGAGAGAAACATCAGGCAAGTGAAACAGAGAGAACGCTGAAACCTTATAATACTGGATTACTAGATGATCTGTATGTCTACACACCTGTACAGTTTATAATAGCACATGTTAAAGGGGTCATATGATGCTTTTTTAAAGATCATTATTTTGTGTATTTGGTGTAACAGAATATGTTGACATGCTTTAATGTTCAAAAAACACATTCTTTTTCAAATACTGTACATTATTGTAGGTCCTCTATGCCCCGCCTCTCTCAAACGCTTCGTTTTCTACAAAGTCCCTCCTTCCGACAAGCGCAGTCTGCTCTGATTGGCCAGCTGACCCAGTGCATTGTGATTGGCCGAACACTGCAAGCACTCGTCGGAAATGTAACGCCCCTAGTCTTTGCAACTTCAGGGATCTTATCTATGCACAATCAGCTTGTAACACTCCAAAGAGAAAGGAAAACTTGAAATCGCATCATATGACCCCTTTAATAATGATAATTCATTACATTTATATAGCGCTTTTCTAGGCACTCAAAGCCCTTTACATTGTGAGGGGGATCTCCTCAGAGATAACACCTCTTCCAGCAGCACCTGGTTTCCCCAGGAGGTCTCCCATCCAGGTACTGACCAGCTCAGCCCTGCTTTGCTTCAGTGGGCGACCAGTCTTGGGCTACAGGGTGATATGGGTGCCGATGTTGGAAGTTATCTTAATGTACAGCACCAATACTCACAGAGATACGAATGTCACTGATGATATAGACTGACACGCACTTTGCAGATAAATGAGACACCTGCAGCTTGTCTTGAGATCTGAGGAGAGAGACCTGCATTAAGACATCAAACGAGTCAAAACATATTCAACTGACAAATATGAATATATAAATCGAATAACAAAAAAATTAACATTACATAAACTAAATTAAGCCCATTAATTATTATAATTTTTTATCCTGCACGTAACAGCCCGAAAACGGCTTGGAGACCCAACCCTAAGGCATCCACGATGAGACACTGGGAAAGAATGATCATCAAACAAGTCATGCTTAAAACACGTTTAAATGAAAAGACATGTCCATATGTGGCTGTGTTTTGTCGGACGTGGACCTTCATAGAGCCTTCATTCAGACAATTCAACATCAGCAAACCTGACTATGGACAATGATTGACAGGCAGGGAGTGTTTCTGATTGGCTAAAAAAGGGCGGACCATCTCCTGACTCTCTTTTCTAGGAGTGTACAAAGAAATGATATGCCTTTTATTCACAATTTAGACTTTGTAATTCTCTAAGGCATGCCAAATTCGGTTGGTCTTAAACGTATACCCTGAAATCTGTCCTGAATGTGTTTACTTTAAATAAGCAGCAGTTTGTTATATGGTAATATTTGTGACCCTGGAGCACAAAACCAGTCATAAGTTGCACGGGGATATTTGTAGCAATAGCCAACAACACATTGTATGGGTCAAAATTATCGATTTTTCTTTTATGCCAAAAATCATTAGGATATTAAGTAAAGATCATGTTCCATGAAGATATTGTAAATTTCCTACCGTAAATATATAAAAACTTAATTTTTGATTAGTAATATGCATTGCTAAGAACTTCATTTGGACACCTTTAAAGGTGGTTTTCTCTATATATATATTTTTTTTTTTGCACCCTCAGATTCCAGATTTTCATCTAGGCCAAATATTGTCCTATCCTAACAAACCATACATCAATGGAAAGCTTATTTATTCATCTTTCAGATGATGTATAAATCTCAATTTCGAAAAATTGACACTTAAGACTGGCTTTGTGGTCCAGGGTCACATTTAATAAAAACACGAACGAATTAAATCATAATACAACGCTACACACACACACACACACACACACACACACACACAATTACTTGTATAAAGTACTTATTAAGGACATTTTGTGCTTTTCCATTTTTTTTAAAGACAACATTTGATGACAGTATCATTGCTTACACCATGCATTTCCAATTTTCTCGATATTCTTTATAATTTCCCCGAAAAGCCACTGTATCAGTCTCTGCAATTTATCTCGTTGTCGACAAGTTCATAAATAGAAAAATAGCCTCATATTTAGAGCGCCGCAAAGTTTGACAAGATTGTTTTATGAATAGAATTGTGATTGAATCCAGTGACGTACGTGATCTGTAGATGCTGCGTTAAATCATAATTCGTACTGCAATGAAGAGCTTTTACAACTACTCATTTAAAATCCTGGGATCTTTCTTTCAACTGTGATACAAATTCCACTCTGCTGCAAGGAACAAACGCATCCATATAAACCGCATGGAGTGCTGTTTGCCATTATACAGCCACAATTGTCGCAAAACCCTGACATCCGGCGAATTATTTTGCAGCGGTATGATGTAGGCATGACGTATTTGACAGCTGGAATCGTTTTGGATGAGAAAATAAGACACTCATATGTTCTGATTCAAGTTCATCTTTAATTACAATTAAAACATGTCATTCAGAGAGCAGAGCAGATATAATGATTGAGATTCTTCAAACAATATATAGGATCTAGATGATGGAAATGTATGTAGCTTTCTGTTGGGTACCAGCGCATGTGGAAGTAAAAGGAAATGAGTTAGCAGACGAATATGCAAAGGAAGCAACTCAGAAAGTAGACATAGATATGCAGATAAAGTATGGTAAGAGTGGAATGAAGTGTTTAATCAAGCAACATGTGAAGAATAGATGGCAGAAATATTGGGAAGAAGAAAGAACAGGGATATGGTTTTATAGCATTCAAAGAATTGTTGGTAAGTACAGAGTAACAGGAAGAAATAGACATGAGGAAACTATAATCTCAAGGCTTAGATTTGGCCATACTGCTCTTAATATCGGCCAATCATAACGCACTGGATAGCTGGCCAATCACAGCACACCTCACTTTTTCAGACTGATGAGCTTTGCAAAAATCAACGTGTTTCAAAAAGGTGGGGCATAGAGGAGAAACAATAATGTACAGTATGTGGAAAATAATGTTTTTTTTTTTACTTTAAACCGCATAAACACATTTCATTACACCAAATACACAAAATAATGTTCTTTTTAGCAGCATCATATGACCCCTTTAAAGGACACGGGATTATATAATAGAATTTAGTGAAGAGTACGGTCCCGATCTACACTCCTAATCAGTAGGTGGCGGTAATGCACCTAAAAGTTGTATGCCATCCGCCATTAAACACCAAGAAGAAGAAGAAGATAGCTGGAATCTGATTGGCTGTTGCGGTTTGAAGCCTTGGAGATGGTGTTCATGGCTACCTGTCTGTATTTGTACTCTGTATGTATATTATATATATATATTATTTCACGTTCTCTCGAGTCTTTATTGTGTTAATTAGCAGATATCGTAAATTGTATCCTATAGCCGCAGGTTAAGAGAGTTTGAGTAACTTTAAAAGCAGTGTTGTTGTGAAAATGGTCAATAACCGCTGGCTAAATGCTAACTATGCTAATGCAGTAACATGTCAATCACAGAGTTTGTCAAATTCTCCTTCAGTTTAATGATCAGTGTTAGAATTATCGTATCAAATATTTCAGCGATATTAAATTAAATTACGCCGGTCTCTAAAAAGAGCCGCTTTAGTGTTTGTTTTAGGCTGAATTTAGCTGCCACAGCTGGTTTAGCACACCAGCTAACAGATTCATTGTTCTCAGTGCTGCAGCTACAAACATGACTATTCACCTTTTATTTAATATATTTGAGGTGATAAAATGGTTAAACTGCCGTTGATGGTATATACCACGTATGTTTGCGAACGTTTGCATTGTTATGAGTTAATATAGGTGTGCAAATACTCGCTGCAGCTGTTTTTTCAGAGGCAGAAAGACAATAACACTGAACTGATGGGTGACAGTTCATATTTACTCCTAAACAGAGAGATGATCAATGAAACGTGACAGATAAGTGTGTAAATAAGACGTCTTCAGATGGGTGTGGCTAAATGATGATTATGCACGAAAACATGCATATTTGATCCATATTAATACATATAAATGCATATATTATGTAAATGATGAATGTATATAAAAAAATCATGTGTATACATTCTTTAATAATGGGTATGTGTATTAGAATGATGATATTTCTATGTTACTGTGCATGTCTAGAATGGAGATCTGAAGCGGATGTGAATATGGATGCAGAACGCAAAGGCTGTTTCAAAACGACAAGACATTAATGAACGGTAATTTTGGCTCACAGCTGAGCTTTCTAATTATCTGTAGGCCATGGCTGTGTATACATATGTGTGTGTGTGTGTGTAATTTCTGTCATTTTGTAGTATATTAAAATGTGCTGTCTAAGCTTGTTTCTGGTTGGTTTGAGCATGCAATGCAGCTGACAATATCTCATTACTTTGCATGCAAGAATATTGTTATTATTTTAACAGCGATGTGTGCAGTTGTTTTCTTTCACACAGTTTTTCGCCTGTATTAATGTTTAGCCTATGTATTTGTTTATATATTCGTATCTATCATTGTTGTCCTGTTAAAAATATAAAGACATTTTGAAATATAGACTATTTATAATAATAACTATTACAAATATATTGTTTATAAGATTTTAAGAACATTGACACTCTTGTGACAAATAATATTTGGTAATTGTAGTGTTTTTTTTTAATTATTATTAGGATTTTACCAGCAGGAAGAGGTCTATACTCTCATTCACATTATTATTTAATTTATTTATTCGATTTTTTAATTACTGCTCATTTAATGCTGTGTCCAGTAGCCTAATTAACAATATATTATTATTTTTTAAAGATTTTACAATTTGGTTGTTGGGTTTAAGAAAAAAATGTATTGCCAGAAAAAGATTTTTCTAACTAGGCTGCTGGGTAACACATTTAAATTAACAGTGATTTCTAAATCCTAAATAATATTTAATGCATTTGTTTTAATTTTTATCTCTATAATGAAGCGATGTGTAGAGAATTAGTGCTGTCAAACGATTAATTGCGTCCAAAATAAAAGTTTTTGTTTACATAATATATGTGTGTGTACTGTGTATAATATTTATTATCTATATAAAAATACACACACATGCATGTATATATTTAAGAAAAATATGTTATGATTATATGTTGAATATATTTATATATAATATAAATTTTATATATATATATATATATATATATATACATGTAAATATTTTCTAAATGTATACTGTATGTGTGTGTGTATTTATATATACATAATAAATGTACACAGTACACCCACATATATAATATGTAAACAAAAACTTTTATTTTGGATGCGATTAATCATTTGACAGCACTAGTAGAGATCAAATTAATGAGGTGTAGATATTATAATCCAGATTGATTTCCCTGAAATATGTAAACATTGTGACTATATCAGACCGACATGTTAATGTCTGGCTCATTGTTTATTTGTCTTCCTATTTATTTGATCAATATCATATGGTGTTTGGGGGGTGGCTTTGCAGTTCCTTTAAATTTGGTATGCATAATTAATCGTCCTTTAATTCAAAATGATGAGCTTGTCTATCAGTTGCCTTCATAATGTCATGCGTGTGTTTGTCTGCAGGGACACAGGAGCGTCTGAGCCCCGTACTGCGAGATGTGACAGGATGCTGAACCATCACTGCAGAAGGAACCCAGAGTTACAGGAGGAGCTGCAGATCCAGGCGGCGGTGGCAGCCGGCGATGTCTACACCGTCCGCAAGATGCTGGAGCAGGGCTACTCGCCCAAGATCAGGGACGCCAACGGCTGGACACTGCTGCACTTCTCTGCGGCGAAGGGAAAGGAGCGCTGCGTGCGCGTGTTCCTCGAACACGGAGGTAAAGACTGTTTTAGGACAGTGGCAAGATGTGCAGAAGTGATTTAAAGTGTCAGTTGGTAAGAAAATCTAAAATGACCAGCCTAGTTTGACATTTACTAAAAACTGTGGTTAGTTTGCTCAACGTGACTCTTAAAAAACACATAATAGGCTAAATGTACAAGCTTCTTATTGCCACACAACAAAAGCGGATGGTAATTTAAAACTGCCAAGGTCCAAAAGTGACAAAAAAGCATGAAAAAGTTATGATTTTTGTGTATTAATCACCATTTAATTGTAAATGTGATCCCTCTCCACATTTTGAGTACTTTATTCTTGGTGATAACCAGTTTGAGGTGATATTTTACTCTCTTACACTCTATTTAGGTTCCCTATCTTGTCATTTCTTTTGCCTTGAAGCACTATACTGGTGTTGTGCTGCTCAGCTAGACACTGCTGTTCTGACATGTTCATGTTTAGGTGTAGTAATGCATGCTAGACGTTAGAGGGCGTTATAAAACAGGGCTGTTTTTGTCGAAACATCTGCAGATAGATTGATCCACAATCAAGTGTTCAGCTGTGCAGCTGATTGAGATTCAGAATAAATTTACGAAGACTGTCATCAGAATAATCAATACCAAGATACAGTCCTTTGATTCAAATATAGTAACATTATGCAAATGATCCAAATATTTGGATAGTGTGTTTGGATCTTTACAAGCTAATTAAGCAAATCACACCTCCACATTTATGCTGAGTTATGTGTGCCCAGTGCTTACATTTAGCATTTATGGCCAACTTTATAATGTTAGGGCCGTTCAATGTTAACATGATCATTTAAATTCTATACAATTAAACTTTACAATTGTCAGTGAATTTACTGTAGTCAGTATAAATGTTTCAGTGTTCAGGTTAACAAATTTGCTTGCAACTTTATTTACTGGAAACGACTGGATTAAATCAAGATTACATTAAGATTGGATAAATCATAGAAATTCTTTGGTCAAAAGCTGTAACAACACAGAATTATGACATTTCAGCAAACTAGTTGTCATTGAAATCATTGCAATCATCAGTTTAGGTATATATTTTGTTCCACTGAATTAAAAAAAAATACACAGTCAATAGTCATTTATCCACATTTAAGAATTAAAAATAAAATGCATGTTTCTAGCATGATTAGCAAGTTGCTAGCATGTTATTAACATGATTAGCAAGTTATTAGCATGTTTCTAGCATGGTGAAATCCTTCACTGTGTGATCTGCTGGAGAGACAAACACATGACAAATCTGAACTAATTCAACTGAAAGCCTAATTAAACTGAATTACTGAGTCTGTTATTTTCCTGTTTATTACTGTGAATCTGCTTTGAAACAATATGTATTTTATGAACAAAGGTGACTTGTCAGGCAAGAAACAAAAAAAAGTTTGTAAAAATTATTGCTATAATTATTATATAAGCAAATATAAAAATGCCATGAAATGTGCATTTATTTGACCTTCTTTTTGTTGCAGTAATGTGAGCGCTCTGACACTAGACATTTTAAAATGTTAAAATCCTAAAATGCCATGCAAAAGTGAATAAATTAAATAATAAATATGTTACAATTGCATATCGATAGACTATTCTTGTTTCTAGTATAATACATCCAAAATAATAATAAAAATATATATTTTGATAAACAGCATTAACTAAATAGTAATGAAATCAATAACATTTAAATAATAAAAATCAACAATACATTATTATATTATGAGGGCTAGATTTGAAAAAAAAATGAATGGAAATGGACTTAAGGATACTTGAAAATTAATAAAGTAATTTTATTGTTTAAAATATTATATTCATGTCATTCTTACATGTGCAAGATGATAGACTAAAAGGAAAATCATGCTAGAATCATGCTAGTAACTTCTTAATCATGCTAACAACATGCTAGTAACATGCGTATCATGCTAGTAACTTGCTTATCACATTAACAACAAGCTAATTGTAACGGGGCTGACCAGACGTGAGACGTGCGGATCCATATGCAAGCTCTTTATTAGGAGAAGACAGAGACGTGGTCATAAAACAGGCATGGGTCAGATGATGGCAGACAGGTATATGGCGGGCAAAACACAAGAATAGTCCTTGGGCTAACGTAGGTCGACGATCGGCAGAATCACAGGGGCGAGACTAGAGAGATAAATCCAGGGAGACAGGCAAAGATCAGAACTGAGAAAACTGACAAGGCAAGGCAAAACAAGGAAACACGGGCAGGATAACAGGAACTAGGAAAACTAACAGGCGAAGTAATACTCGGCAGTGAATGGTAGTTTGAGTGAGTGATATATAGTGAGTGAGTGATGTGAAACAGCTGTGTGCAATCAGTGAAAACAGCTGTGTGCAATCCGTGCTGAGTGCAATCAGTGCAATGAATGATGGGATATGTAGTCCGGGGCGATGTGCAACAGTGTGTAGTGCGAGAGTCAATGAAACTGGAAAGGGTGACCTCCGATGGCTAGCAGATGGAAGTTCATGGACCGGATTCGTGACACTAATAATATTAGGAACATGCTAGCAAAATGTTAACGTCATGCTAATTATGCTAGCAACATGCTAATCATGTTAGAAACATGTTAGTCATGTTAGAAACATGCGAACTACATACTAATCATGCTAGCTACATGTTAATAATGTTACTCATGCTTAAAACATGCTAATCATGCAAGAAACATGCAATCAACAACTAAACTATCTAAAATTTCAGACTTCAAGCTTTGACAACTGCTTTAAACTTTCAGGCTAGGCTTTCTCAAGCCAACCTAAAGTTTGTCTTGATTAACCTTTTTTTTTGGAGTTTCAGCGCAAGAGCGCCCTCTGGCCTTTGGATGGAGATTTACTGCTGATCACAGAACCGTGGCTTCACTGAAAGATACGCATGACAATCGCAGCTTCTGTCAAATCGCGATCTCGATTCCGTTAAGATTTATCGTGCAGCCCTAATCCAAATTTTCATGTACATTTTAGCTACACTGAAACAAACTTGAAACTCTGATTTTAATGTGACAATCTTGAAATGTGAACACCTTCCTGCTAGAATAATTTATTTTATTTTATCTGGTTATTCTATTTATTTATTTATTTATTTTTAAGAAAAAGCTTTGTTCAGCTCAACTAAACTAAACTTTTAGGTTCTTTCTTTTGAAGTCAAAGCTTTATTACCTTAGTATTTATCGTAATATCATATTCAGTATATATTGTAATTTAATATATAAAAAAATTTAATTATTTTACATACACACTACCGGTCAAAAGTTTGGGATCAGAATGATTTTTAATGTTTTTTTACAGGAGTTTCTTCTGCACATCAAGGCTGCATTTATTTGATCAAAAATACTGGAAAAAGTTTAATATTGTGAAATATTATATTATATATTTATTATTATTATTATTATATATATTAAAATAAATATTGTATTATATTATACATATTAAAATATAGTTTTTCTATTTTAATATACATTAAAATGTAATTTATTTATGTGCTCAAAGCTGAATTTTCAGCATCATTACTCCAGTCTTCAGTGTCACATGATCCTTCAGAAATCATCTAATATACTGATTTTGGTGCTCAAGAAACATTTCTTATTATCAATGTTGTCCTGCTTAATATTTTTGTGAAAACTGTGATTCATGTTTGTCAGGATTCTTTGATGAATAGAAGGAACAGTATTTATTTTGAAATAGATGTTTTTGAAACATAGGGCTGCACAATTTGGAGAAAAAATCTAATTGCGATTTTTCTGATCAAAACTGCGATTTAAAATGCGATTTACTACTATTTCATAAAAGAGCTACAGGTTTGTTGTGGTGGTTTTAACAGTACCAAAGAAATACCAAGTATTAGAATGATCAAATGCACATTATTATTCTTTATAAATATGGACTGGCTCCATTATATATCTCTGATCTCCTTTTGTTCCATTGTAACGCCTCCAGGGAACTTCGATCAACTAGTAGTCTTCAGTTGAAGGTCACAAGGTCACACTTGAAATCAAAAGGAGATCGTGCCTTTTCAGTGGCTGCTCCGATACTTTTTTTTAGGATTCTTCGATGAATAAAAAATTAAAAAGAAGCGCATTTATTTAAAATAGAAATCTTTTCTAACAATATACACTACAGTTCAAAAGTTTGGGGTCAGTAAATTTTTATTCTTTCTTTTTTTGAAAGAAATTAAAACTTTTATTCAGCAAGGATGTGTTAAATTGTTAAGAAGTGATAGCAAAGATTTATATTGTTAGAAAATATGTATATTTTGAATAAATGCTCTTCTTTTTAACTTTTTATTCATCAAAGAATCCTGAAAAAAGTATCGCAGTTTCCAAAAAAATATTTGCCAACATTGATAATTCTAATAATAAATCAGCATATTAGAATGATTTCTTGAGGATCATGTGACACTTTATACTGGGGTAATGGCTGATGGAAATTCAGCTTTGCATCACAGAAATAAATTATTTTAAAGGATATTAAAATAGAAACTATTATTTTATATTGTGATAACATTTTGCAAGATTACAGTTTTTTTTCTGTATTTTTGATCAAATAAATGCAGCCTTGATGAGCATAAGAGACTTTAAAAACAGTCTTACTGATCCCAAACTTTTGAACGGCAGTGTATATATAAATTATGTTATTAATATTATAATTTAATATTTTGCAACAGCGAATTAGCTTGGGAAAAAACATTTTATGAAACAACATTTTTATTTTTTAACAACAATGAACGAATTGATTTAGTACCTCAGTATTTATTATAATATTAAATATTTTTTGTGAAATGTGTGTATATATATATATATATATATATATATATATATACACAAATATTTTATATATTATATA